TGCAAAGTACACGTGTAGTAGACATTTTTATTGGCACAACACTATGTTCTATTGTCTACTTGTACTCCCCCATATTAAAAAATTAAATAGAAGTTTATTGACGTAATTATGTATCTCCACTCTTTCCCCTCTGCTTGAAACTTTTCTGTGGATGCCCATGTCCAGAATATTTTAAGAAAATGTTTTTAGGGATTAGGAAAATCTTACACCATTTACGTAATATAATCCTCTATGATACAAAAGAGATTTTAAGAAGGAATAAAAAGGAATTACTTTAAGGACAGAAAATATTCAAAATACAGGAAGAACAAGCAAACAGTGCAAAGACAGCGAAATATTCAAATGAAAACTACAAAATTTTGCAACATGTCTACTCTGGTGACAATGACAAAAGCTAGGATTATTGTTTCTATTTTACTCTTGTATGCTTTTGTTTAGATAATATTTTACCATTAGAAACGCTTGTAAGGATCTTAAGTTTTACTAACGTTTATTTTATTTTAAATCTTTACTATCACTTCTTATTTTCTACTTCCGGCCAGAATTATGAGCGTTAAGGTTTTTATGAAAAGTTTGTCTGGCGAACGCCAAGTATTTAAGTTGTGGCTTTTTGCCAAGCGAGAGAGAGGAGCAGGAGTGAAGCAGTGAGTCGAGCAGGCCGCTTACCTTAGAAGTTACGCAGTTGCTTGTTGCCTTCCAGGCCGGAGGTTTTAATCCTCTTGATAAATTTAAACGTATTGTAGTGTTCACAGTTCTCTGTACTACATACGCTTCCTGTTAAAATAAGGCCAATCTTCCACGTGTGTTATTCTAAAGTTAAATTAGAGTTTAGTTTTATTTTTATACTTTTACGTTTTGACCCCAAGTAGCGGGTCGGTGTATTCCGAAGTACGGAAGTCATTGTAAATAGAGAAAAATAAAGGGTTTTGTATACCCTTCTTGTGTATCCTGTTTACTTCCCACAGTTTTGAACATAGCTTTAGTAAGCTCTCTGTTCCGAGTCAGGTCCTTGCATGTTCCCGAAGAAGGTTAGAAGGAACATTGAACCTGATAGTGGCGCCCAACGAAGAAGAATAACCATGGCCGAGTTTCAAGAAGAACCTGTGTTCAAGAAGAAACGGCTCAGAATCCAGAAATGCCAGCTGCCGCCCTGGAAGGATTTGGTTACATCGTCCAGACCATGCGCGCTTCGATGAAACCAGAAGCAACATTTAATGGAAGCTCACCGGTAACCAGTTTTTTGGAAAAATTGGATGACCACTTCATGCTACACCGTACACGAGTTTCAAAAAGTTACCTTAGTCACCAGCGCTTTGAGGGGCCAAGCGCTTAACTGGTTCAAATGTATAGGCAGAAGTCTCTTGGGTCAAGCAGGAAGTCCCACCTATACTTACGAAAATTTCAAGACTGCCCTACTAAAAGCCTTCCCTGTTGTAAGGGATCGTGCGAAATTAGAAACGGAACTTTTTAGTATATATCAACAAAGAATCGAAAACCTCTCAAGCTTTATTTTAAGAAAAATTCACGTCTTCAAACTCTTGTATGGAAACCGTCCGGATCCCGAAATAATTCAAGTGATTTTGCCGAGGTTACTGCCCCAAGTGCAAGACTTTATTGAATTGAGAAATCCGACTACACTGGAAAAGTTATTTGAGCAAGCAATCCAGTTTGAAAGTAGAAGAACGGCGGACGTCGAAAGAAGACGCCAATATCAACAGCGAAACCAATTTGGTACGCCAAGACTACAGCAAACTCAAGCACACGGCTACGGAGGCAAAGCGAATCAGTGGGCAAGGAAACCCGAGCATTCAAAAACAGCCGGCGAACGTCGACAGTTCAATAGCAACCCAGGAAAAAAGTCTCAAGGCCAGGGGAAAAAGAAGGAATGCACGGAAATGAAAAATAATTTAAACTAAAACGGATTTCTGCTGCTGACGGGAGGGTGCGGAAATCCGAAGGCCAAGAAAACCCCTCTTCCTACAAGTTAAATACAGTAATGGTGAAAAATTTGACTCTTCCGAAGATTGAAGTGTTGGTGAATAATATCCCAGCCACCGCACTCCTGGATACAGGCGCGCAGTGTTCCTGTGTGGCAGAAGATTTTTTTAGGAAGTATTTTCGTAAATATCGCATATATAATTCGGATAATACGACAGTGTTAGCTGCGCAAGGAGAAAAATGTAAGTGCATAGGTAAAGTACCTTTGTATATCCGTATCAAGGACGAACAAGTAAAGGTGATGTTTTTTATAGTAAAGAATCTGCAAGCACATTTAATCTTAGGAATAGATTTTCTTTCAGACGCACAAGCAACACTGGATTTTAATGAAGCGTCCCTTAAGCTGACAATGAAACCAGTTCTTGCAGAAAACGCTGAACCGCCGATGTTAAAACTTGACCATCTCCCTAATGACGAGCAAGGAAGAATCCGACAAGTGGTAAGTGAATTTGCTTCGTTATTTAGTGATATTCCAGGATTTACTCAGGTTACTAACCATAGTATTGACACCGGAGATGCAATGCCAGTTCGCAAAAAACCATACCGGTATGATAAGAATAAGGAAAAAATTATAGAATGGCATATTACCGATATGCTACGTAAAAAGATCATAACGCCCATCTCAAGTAGTTATGCTAGCCCGGTGGTTTTATGTAAGAAAAATAATGACTATCCTTTGACGCATCCAAAAATGTAGAGATTCGCTATTGATTACCGTTAATTAAACTCCATAACTAAATATCCGGTATATCCGTTACCGATCATTGAAGAAATTCTAAGGAACATAAAATCAACCAAATTTATGACGACTTTAGACTTAACGACTGGTTATTTTCAAGTAGGGGTTAGGCCTGAGGACGTGCCTAAGACTGCTTTTATAACCAAGTCTGGCACTTATGCATTTTTGCGTATGCCGTTTGGCCTTTCAGGGGCCCCGGCAACATTTCAGCGATGCATGGACATTGTGTTAAGACCTGTTCTTGGAAAGTCCACATTTATCTATTTAGACGGTATCATTATTACTAGTGATAATCTCGATCAACATGTACAGGATTTAAGACAGGTGTTTTCTTTATTAAATGAGGCCGGTCTAAAAGTTAATGTCGAAAAGTGCAAATTTGCAGCCCCTGAATTAAAATATTTAGGTTACAAAGATATCTCAGAAAGGAATAGAGACAGACGAATCAAAAATAATTGCTGTACAAAAGTATCCGACTCCAAACACGGCAAAGAAGCTCTCTTCTTTTCTAGGACTTTGTTCATATTATAGGTCCTTTATAAAAGATTTTGCATCTATCGCTGAGCCATTGTTAAAATTAAAAAGGAAAAAGGCAAGATTCTCGTGGACGGCCGAAGCCAATAGTGCTTTCGAAAAATTAAAACAAGCATTAACGCAAGCCCCTGTGTTGAAATTTCCTGAAAAGGATGAGAATTTAGAAATTTCAGCGGATGCTTCGGATTATGCGGTAGGAGCGGTACTTTCGCAAAATCAGCAGCCCGTGGCATTTTTTAGCCGAACTTTAAATCAAACACAAAGAAACTATTCCGCGACCGAGAGAGAGATAATTAAAATAGTCATGAATGAAATAAGAATGTTAAGAGAAGTATAATTATATATGTTACTTGCCATTTCATTGTGTAACATTTCATTAAACTAGTTTTCCTTCCAGATCTCTGGAAGGAACCAGAATTGAATAAAAGCTCCTGTTTAGATGCAGTACAGATGAAAAAAAAATTGTGTATCCTGGGAGCTGCTATTGTAAAAACAAATTTCTTTCTTTTAAATTTCTAGTTTCTAGCGAAAAATATTTGTAAAAGATTGGCCTCGCGTTAGATTCTAGAGCTAAAAGTTTTCAACAAGGTCGTTTTAGACCTCAGTTTCAAAACTAATTAACTCTGGCGGGAAGTATGTAAGGATCTTAAGTTTTACTAACGTTTATTTTATTTTAAATCTTTACTATCACTTCTTATTTTCTACTTCCGGCCAGAATTATAAGCGTTAAGGTTTTTATGCAAAGTTTGTCTGGCGAACGCCAAGTATTTAAGTTGTGGCTTTTTGCCAAGCGAGAGAGAGGAAGCAGTGAGTCGAAGCAGGCCGCTTACCTTAGAAGTTACGCAGTTGCTTGTTGCCTTCCAGGCCAGAGGTTTTAATCCTCTTGATAAATTTAAACGTATTGTAGTGTTCACAGTTCTCTGTACTACATACGCTTCCTGTTAATATAAGGCCAATCTTCCACGTTTATTATTCTAAAGTTAAATTAGAGTTTAGTTTTATTTTTATACTTTTACGTTTTGACCCCAAGTAGCGGGTCGGTGTATTCCGAAGTACGGAAGTCATTGTAAATAGAGAAAAATAAAGGGTTTTGTATACCCTTCTTGTGTATCCTGTTTACTTCCCACAGTTTTGAACATAGCTTTAGTAAGCTCTCTGTTCCGAGTCAGGTCCTTGCATGTTCCCGAAGAAGGTTAGAAGGAACATTGAACCTGATACGCTTTGTTAGATTTTATATATGTACAAGAAATCATTAGATGGATATCTGAAATTCAACTTCTAAGGGTAAAATTTCCTTTACTGCTGACACTATAACCTGCCTCTTTCTCAAAATCAATTATTGTTCATAGCTGCGAAAATTCTTTTTTACTAATACTGCTCTAGTTAATGAAAAAAGTGCCTAAAACTAGATATACAATCACTTGCATATAAAACTCTCGGACATTTCCCAATACCGGACACATATTTGTATTTAATATAACACGTGAGAAAAATTAAGTTCATCAACTGCTACTATTATTATGAGACAGAGAGAGCATTAACTTTTTAGCCTTCTCTATAAATTTAATTTTCACCAACAGCTATTAAAATTCACCAACTGTTACTATTATAATGGAAGAGATAGAGTATTAACTTTTTTTTGTCTTCCCTATAAATTAAATTCATCAACTGCTACTATTATTATGGGACAAAGGGAGTATTAATTTTATCTTTTTCATCTTCTCTATAGGAGGCAGTTGATCTGAAGAAGAAAAATCCTAATTTGAAAGTAATGCTGTCATTAGGTGGATGGGGAGACAGTACAAAGAAGTATTCGGATTTAGTAGCGTCGTCATCAAGGAGGAAGAATTTTATAAAAAAAGCTGTGGAATTCATAAAAGCTCACGGATTTGATGGAATAGATGTTAGCTGGCAATATCCCAATTGCTGGCAAGGTGCTATTGGAGTACATCCGGACGATAAGGAGAATTTTGCAAAATTTTTACAGGTAAGAAAATAATAAAATTAGAACGTAACAATTTGAGCTATTGTTGCAGATCCATTTTTAAGAATATTTTGTGAGGTTCCAGTGTTCTCTTTATAAATTATAAATACATTCTCTTCATAAATAACCCACCAGCGGCCGAGTGGTAAAATCGCTGAACACTGGTAGTTCGGTCCGACGTTCGAATCTTGCGAACGGGCTGGCTGCGTGGGTGTTTTCGTGGTTTTCCCCATGTGTAACGTGTATACGAGCCAGTTAACCTCAGAAAGTCCTCCACGAAGGCAAGCCTTCCCTTAGGCAGATAGCCCTCGAGGCTTTGCCGTAATTAAAGAACCTAACCTAACCTAACCTCTTCATAAATAATAATAAATAGATTCTAATGATTTATTACAGTGGTTTAAAACTGGCGAGTTGCGGGGCGCTTGCGGTCCGCGAAGCAATTTTAATGCATCCGCGAATACATATTTAGTAACTTAATTAACATTTTTACGACAAGAATTTGGAGGAACAGTTTAAGATTTTAATGGTTTCGAATCCAAATATACATCATATTCTAAAAACATCTTACTGTTACTAAAAAGGAACTTGAGTAACGCTCCGCAAAAAGTAGAAATGTAGCTAATTAATTTACACTGTGATGTAAATATTATTTAAAGATTTAAAGATAGAAATTTGATTACCGTTGTTAGTACTATAAGGTATTTCTCCCGCCTTCTTAGCGTGCCTTTATGGTGTAATGGCTAGCACAGTGGGCCGGTATTCCAGAGGTCCTTGGTTCGATTTCCGGCGAAGGCGTTGCTAATTTTTCATCTTGCTTGCTTCCAAAAAATACCTAACGTATGTATAGTACTTATCAAAAGGTAAATAGCTTCAGTTACGAATTGTTGCAATAAAATTACTCGCTTTGTTTTGTAGTACATTTACGTGAGAAAGGTTTTTTTTTTCCGTACCTGAAAATTAGTATGTTTATGAAAAGAACAAGACTACCCGACGAGTATCTACAATTTGTGATGATATGTTTTAGAAACATTCCTCCAAGATTACAAACTCTATGGAAATCGAAATACCATGTTGTGTTGCAACTGAAAGACGTTGTAAGAAACTAAGAAGTTTTTAATTGTTTATGCACTAATATGTCTTTTTCTGTATGCTTCATCAAAATTTAATAAATAAAGAAATGGAATAAGTTGTCATTATTTATTCTCAAGTTTTGTCTCTCTTGGGATGTGTTCTTTCATTTTTTCCTAGTTTAAAGTAAAAGGGAGTTATTTAGTAGTCACTTTAATATAATTATTTGAATAAACGCAATCTGAAAATTTTAATATTTAACTGTCAGTACGTTTGAATTACAAAGTGTGACCAATGAAAAGATTTGTGCACAAAACTTTAGTCTTCAAACAGAATATAAGTATAAATTTGAATTTTTCCTAGTGATTTTTACACGTATATTTTGGCAAATATGTAGTAATTTTCTTTTTAATTTAATAAAAAATATTATTGTTTTTTAAATTCCAGCCCGTAGCTGCTTCCAGATCGTGCATTTTGCCTTTGTGTAGTTTGAGTCTGAGACTACTGATTCATTCGCAAAGAATTCAATAATTACAGCAACACATTATTTTAATGTGATTTTTTACTTCGAAATTGTGTTATGACAGAAATCGCTCAACTTTAAAAAATTGGTTTTTATCGCTTTCTCATTTCAAATGACCTGTGTATCCAGAAGTTATAGGGTGTCCTAAAAAAATGCGCCCCCAAAATAATGCCACAAAAATGCTTTGTATGCTTTCAAAATACTTTATGTTTATAAAGTGAGAAATATTTTTACATACATAAAACAAGTAGACTTGGAGCATTAAGCAAAGGAATAGCATGCTTTGATTGCAGAAACTCGTAAAAAGAACGGCGAGTATTATGCATACACCAGCGATTGCGGTGGTACACAACAGAAAAATAGGTTATAAGCAAAGAAACAAAGTATTTTTAACTATTAAATTCAAAAATCTTGTGAAGAAAAAGAACGATTGATAGAAATTTCCTGTGATCGAACTCTAACTGGAGATTTGAAAATAAACTAAACTTTTGGCTGAACCAAAAAAACGAATTTAAAGGAATTTAAAATAAAACTATTAAGTTTTTATTGCCTTTCTGCACTTTGTTATTTTGCACAACGTATTTGTGTGAACAAAGATTTTTCTTCCCTGTTATAATTTGAAAAGTAAATACAGAACAAAATTAAAAGTGAATCCTAATTTAAGATTAAAACTAAACTAAATAAGATCTTACATTAAGAAATAGATATCTCTTAGACAGGTCCAAATTTCAAACTTAATTTATAATTAAAGTTAGTTAACTTATTGTAATCGTTTGCAAGGTTGAGACCCTTGCGAACCAAAGATGTGCGTCTGTATACTTGCCATCAAAGTCTGAGCTCGAATCAACACTCGAACGCCAAGTTTTCTGTTTTATCCGTTTTGTGCACTCTCTGTGAGTTTTTCACTAACTGATTGCACAAATTTTGATCTCATTCATTCGCTCTCCCAAGGCTGTTGCAAGTTCAGGTTGGAATTCTAATATTCCTCTTTTCTGCCTTTCAGAGTGGAATGCGACCCTATGTTCTATGATAATTATTGCTCATCGGGATGAGTATCATCACCTTTCTTAATTTGTAAAAACAATTTAGAATCACCCCGTATATGCATATGATCCGTTTTGGAAAAAAAGTCCTTTATTCTCTCCGTATGTACAGGTGACAGCTGAGGATAGGGACACCTAGTGGCTAACACTGGTAAACATGTATTGTCCCGCGCCCACCACTATCTGTACAGCCGCATTTTTTCCTTCGGTCCGTGAGACATCTCATCGGAGATTATGTTAAATATTATTTGGTTACATTGCCAAACAAGGGCTGTTACTTCATTTACATTTGCTGACTGGAAGAACAGATTGATGAAACTGACGTGATATTTGAACAGAAATTATACATATATATGCATAAACACTTGTAAATACATGAAGCATATGTAAACACATAAAATGCATTTAGACGTCAAACAAAATAATAAAAACGGATTCGAGAGTGGTCAATATGGATATTTCCGTTGAAATATGATACCTGAAATTTTTCGTGATCACTCCTTTACTTCGTACAAGGAAGCAAAGAAATTGGAAGGGTTCAATTGCCCAAAAGGGCTTTTTTAAAGTTTATTATGGCTTAGTGGAATCGTGAAATGTTTTATTATTGATGTACTAGAAGAATATACATTTAGGCTTACATTGGAACGATGTATATCTTCTGAATATTTGAAACGAGAAAATATGTAACATCATTCTATTGAATGTTTTTTCTTAGATGTATCATGAATTAAATGCATTTTCGTTTCAGTCCATCCGATTCAACAATAAGAAGATAATATTCTTAAGAACTGCACCTGATGCTTTTAAATAGCTTAGTTTGTTAATTAGTAACGGACAGATTACATGTGAAAGAAAAATATGTTGCATTTTGTGGACTGTAAAAAGACTTGGATAAAATGTGAAGCAATCGAAAGAAAAGTGAAGGTCAAAATCATATTTCGAAAACTAATAGCGCTTTTGAGCTAAAAAATTAGCTTAATTGTTAAATCCAGTTTAACTGTTATAATTACAGATTTAACTTGCTCCTAGCAAAATATCACTATCCCTTTAGAGAACTTTAATCAACACGAATGTTTAAGTAGCAGAGAAACAGATTCAGAAATAATTAAACAATTTATAGAATTTCAAATAAAATCTAAGCTATAGCTTATCTTTGGGCACCGAGTACAGCCTGAAACATAATAAAAATATATAACTAATTTATACTTCATTTTCTGAAAGGATATGTAAAATTAAACTTCTGAAGTACAGAGCAAATTTAAACTCACTTATTCAAAGGACTGCCGGATGATCGTAATTACCCGCGGCTATTAATACTGTTAATACTTCGGTAGAAATGTATTAGTACTGCACAGTTCAGTTATTCTCATTACCTAGAAGATAATTCCTAGATTAAGCTTAACAATGTTGCAAGTTATTTTAAAACACATATTGCGTACATTTGGCTATAAATAATGCGAATCAAAAGAGGGAAAAAAAGGAAAAGCGAACAACAAACAGCTTGCGAATGAAAAAGGATTGATGAAAATTTTAAAATGTACCTTGCAATATTATACGCTCAGCATCAATTTCATCTATTAATCTCAAAACTCTTTTTTTATCCGTATCATTTTTGTGTTAAAATTACTTTTGAAATTGTTGCTCTCCAATACTGTCGGCGTGTATTACTTGAAAAAAAAATAAATAGTAAAGAATCTGTATTGTGCGTATGTATTTATATAGGGAAGTTCCTCGCACTGCGGAAAAAAGACGGCATCTACAGCCACGTAGTTTTCCATTTATAATGCATGTAATTTTCCATCTGAACCTCGAAACCCTAATTTTGAATTTAATTATTTTTGATTTACTTAATATTTTGTACCGATATAATGAACTTTTGTTTAAGAAACTCAGATATTTAAAAGCGAAAAGAGGCAACACTCTTCATTTATCTACCTCCGTAGAGCTAGTCTGTTGCCATTCGACAAAATGTAAGATATTCTTATTTCAATTTATTATATTTTATCGCATGCAACTGATACTATAAATAGCAACTTACAATATTTAACTATATCGTTTTCTGTGGCTATTATTTCTAATGCGGGTTATTTGGCGGAAGAATATTGTACCGAAAAAAAAAAGCACAAAGGCCTTAATTACAAAATCGTGCAGGTTAAGTTTTAATCTTTTAGCTTTAGCCCACAAATTCGAAAGCAATGCTTTGCTTTTGTATCAGATAGAAAACTTATTATCTTCATGCACCAACTTTTTAGCATTCAATTAAGCGTAATATATTGAAGTTTCAAATTTAATCTTTCTGTTACTGAGTAGCAAAGCTGACTGAAAAGCGATAAACGCAGTTCTGAAAAAATAGTTCTGTTTTTATTCTGATTAATTTAAATAAAACTGCATTTAGTTCATGAGATATTTAATTATAAATATTAGACACTTTCATGAAATGACATTAGCGTGCCCCTTCAAAATTATTATATACTTTTCCTTTTTTATGATAACTGTTCTATTAGGCTAGTTTACAAAAGAAATAATATAACGAATATCGATGCTAAATAACAAAGAAAGGCAAAAACGCTATGTTAGCAGGAGTGAGTCCAAAAGCAAATTGGTAACCTGCGATGCTCAGCGAAAGCCTAAATAATCTTAACAAAGCCATTGGCACGACATTCAAGTCCCATTCTTTTCAGTTTTGCTTTCTTTCTATTTTTAATGACTTTTAGTGAATAATAATTTTTAGTGACTTATAATGACTTATAATGAATTTTCTTTCCTTTTTTTAATGAATAATACTTATTATGACGCTCTGGTGTTTTTCATGAAATTGTATCGAATTTCTAGGAACTTCGAAAAGCATGTGATCAGGCTGATCTGACTCTGTCTGTTAGTGTCGGGGCAATTAAGCGTGAGGTCGAAGCTGCATATGACATTCCTGCTATTTCAAAGTAAGGTTTCATTCTTTAAAGCTGGTTTGTAATTGCAAATTGTTGTGAAAACGTTAAAACTTGAAAGAAAGTTCCTTCACTTAAAGATTTTAATCTGTGATTATGTTACGAATGTAGAACTTTATATTTGCATATAGTATATGATTAGATCTTTATGCTGTCTCTTTACACCAAAATAAATAAAAAATTACTTAATAATAATGTTATAACTCAGTATGGTTTCAGCTCACTAATATTACTGTCTATAATGCCTTGCATCCTATGTATCCATTAGTGGATGTATGCGGGATTCGTCAAAATAACCCACGGCAAAACAGTTCTGACAAAATAGCCCAGGATGAAACAGCCCATGACAAAATAGCCTAAATATAACTATTAAATATTTTATTTTTACTTTCAGTTCTAAAATTCTATGCAAATATCGATATGTTACATCATTCAACAAAATTCATATCCAGGTTTGCCACCTAAAAATCAGCAAAAATATTTTGTGTTTTATATACTTTTTAAAAATAAAAATAAGGTATGTAACACCAGTAAAAGCAACAAAAACCGTGTTTATTGACATTTATATTTCAAGATTATTGCATTATATTTCAAGATTATAGTTAGATACATTTTTTTGTTCAAAACATGTAAATCTTCTGTAAATTATCCGACAAGATAGCCCGAGCCATAAGAGACCGATAAAATAAAGCCCTAAGAGAACAACCCAAAACTAAATAGATCGTGTCGAAACAGCCCCATCAAAATGGCTTTCAAGAGTAAACAAATATCGTTTAAAAGTATACGAGAAACTCAGTTTTCAATAGTATAATCCCAAAGCTCAAAATGTCCAGGACTTCAACTGTACAGTGCCGAAGAAATAACCCAGTAGAGCTTTTATTGAAAACAGCCGAACAAAATAGCTAAAATTTAAATTCTAAATATTTCTTAAAACATATTTTAAGAAATATGCATACAAGACACTAGTATATCATTATACACTTGCATTTCAAGATTACGCGCAATGTCACGAAGAAAGACCATGTTCCATGTTCACATAATTTCCACTAATGTTTTCAAGCGTCGATTAAGCTGTACATACTCTTATTTAGTTTTGATTACGTCTGGGTTGCTGCGATATCCTCAGCAAGGTAGTTATGAGAATTTTTACCTAAATCCCTCTCTTTCCGTCAATGGTCGTTACGTTTGCAGACGGACGGATGATAGCAGTCGACATTTTGCGAGAATGTCCTTCTGTTGAATTGCTTGCCCTCGGAAGACCATTGACGATGCGCTCATGGACCAACGGGATACAACATTTTTCTTAATGTATCTTAAATGGTTCAAAAAACAGTTCATGTGCAACATTAAACGTGCCATACACAAACCAGTAATGATGCTGTTCCAGTAATCTCAAATTATTTTCAGTGTCAAAAGTCAGGATTTGGTCAGGATCATTTTCTCCAGAATACCACAGAATAAAATATTCGTTCCTTGTAGTATTTTGCAGGTAAACTGGAGTTTTAATATCGGTAACACTTGCAAGATTTGGATATGGAAAAGCCCTTTTACGTCGTATACATTCTATTGTTATTCAGGAAGCAAAATAATTTGGAAGCTGAACAGATGTGCTTAAAGATCATGCAAGCTTGATATATGTACCTAGGTGTCTCCACAGGGCCCTGTGCTCTTTCATTTCAGAAACGTATTTCAATGCCTGAAATTTAGCTGGATTTGGCGCATGATTCTGTTTTGTCATGACTCGAAAGTCAGCATCCAGTGTTCTTAGACGTCCTTTACAGGGCGGTACGATACACTTCCGCGATGTACTTGAGATATCGAAGGCCATCTTCCAGCAACAGATCTTTTCGTGCCCCGATTTTCACCATTTTATTTTCCGTTTTTCAGCAGTCAGCAATAAAATCGAATTGAATTAAGAACAAGTCTTATATGCATTACATATACATCCAAAATAATTATTTAAAATATTTTTGGGAAGTATTTTATTGCTTTTCTTCAAATTCCACATTATATTTTTACTTCACTCCCATATTATTTATAGGTTTGATTACCTAATAATCTTCTAAAAAACCTATGTTGTAACTTAATAATATCATAGTTTCACGGAATTGTTTGTCTTTTTTTTTTTTTTTTTTTTTTTTTTTTTTTTTTTGAAAAATTGTCAGCATGGCTTTAAAAAGAAGAAACATGGTATACCTTTTTCCCCAGGGGACAAAAACTTAAGGTATTTGTAAATTTTATAATTCTTTTATTTAAACACTCTATATTTCTTTTACAGTACTCGAGTACATCAGGTGTGCTTTTACACTATCTGTTTCGAATTATCTGTATTTTTCAAGTTGTACTACATGAGTATCTGTGCATGAAAACTCATATAACTGCGAGTTAAATCTTTAGTTCACTCTAGGAAAAAGATCAAGGATAAAAATGCAATATTTTTAACACTTCCATTTAGTGTTCAATATAATTAATTTTCATAACAAAATTAATGCAGTTAAAACGTATTCTTTGCCTTTTCGTAATTAATCCATGCAACTGTCATTAGTTACCTATTGCTGGTAACTAACAACAATATTTTTGTTTATTAATAGGGCTGTGCATCATATTAATCTAATGACATACGACATGCACGGACCGTGGGAAGGAAAAACAGGTCACCATGCTCAATTTGATAAAACTCCATCGGATGCAGACCCTTATGCTAATGTAGTAAGTGTTTTAACTTACTTTTGAGTTTTTATTCCTTGGTAAACTTGTAGAGCTATTAGGTTATTTGGAGGCAAGAGGCTTGAAAAATGAGCAACGCCTTCACCGGGCATCGTGCCATATAGTATATAGGAATTTCGTGGACTTAGCCTGATGTTACTATCATACAAGTAAGCATAAGTAACAAAAACACACCCTCTCCCCTCCCCAAAAAAACAATATAAAAAAAATCGTTTAAACAGTTGTCAGTTAGTCGTCGTTTACAAAGTTTACTAAAATCGATGTCCAGCGAAGCGATAACGATTGTAATCACACATCATTTTATCAATATTAAACGACGTCAATAAAGCCCGTAAATCATCCATCAAGCGTTGCCATATAGTATTCTCATCTGTATTCTTTAAATTTATGTCATAATTAATTACGGAAATGAAATATTCCTGCGCAAGGAAATGCTTTATATACACAATTTATATACATCACCAATTACTTATAATCGATAGTTGGATTTATAAATATTTTTCATGCTGTATGATTATTATTAAATTATCTTGGGAGTTTAACGAGACAATATTTTAATTACCTCTTTTGGGTTTCCTTAACGTATGATTAAATGCAGTTCTTATCATGAATGGAAGAAGTAAAGAAAAATTCACATTCTTATTTGCTGATGATTTTGCCGTCTTAATTAGAAATTTTATTTCGAGCTTTTATATTTCAGAATATCTTCCTAAAATAATTCGAAAATTTTATTAAATGTCTTTATAACAATTTATATGTTTTAAGTTTGCTGTCATGAATATTTAGTTTCACTTAGCAAAATGATTCTCTATTAAATGCTTTAAATCATATTTAATTAAAATTATTAAGTTAAACTTAAGAGTTGGGAGAACTAGTATGGTTTCGTTTGGTAATCAACATTTTATTTAATAATATGTAAACCTTCAGTATCATTTCTTCTGCTATTGAGGGGAATTTTATTCCCTTTGTTACCTTTCACTTGATTTTAAAAAAAATGCCAGTAATACTCCAGTCGTTTTATTACTAAACGTGCGAATCGTAAAAATATGTTACGAACATATTGCAAACATCATTTTCCATTTTGATAAATAAGTGTAAAATGCAATCGTAATTTATTTCACATATAGTAAAGGGAAACAAATTAAAATTAATTGTAAATTTCTTTCCTCTAATGATCACTAGTAATGACACTCAAAATACTAGTATATTTTCGAAATCATTTCGAGAAGCATCAAGTTAGGATTTTTCACACGCATTTATCAATGCGGTACTTAAAAAAAGCATTTTGGGCTAGTAGAGTTTTGATATTTCATACGAACATAATTTTAATTGCAACTTTCAAATTCTTCATTTCATGAGTTCTTCGTTTCATTCAAATTTTCATGAGTGCAGCTTTTTCTGATTTTTCTCCTCTTAGAAAATTAAGTAAGCCTTTGTTTTTTATTTCTCTTTTAGCTGTTTTTTTCATTTATCCCACGACTAATTCATAGAAAATAGTATCGTACAAAATATTTTTCCTTCGATTACAGTTCAGTTCAATTATTATTTAATTTTTCTTCAATTATCACACTGGATATCATTCTGGCTGCTTGTTGTAGCTGTGATACTCTCCATCTTGGAGTGGTGTTTTCGAAGCATGAAATGTTGAGTGGATTTAGCTGTCGAAGATAAGAACAGGGATAAGGATTCATTAAAATACGATATTCAGATCCCAGCCAATATCTACTATGAAGCAACTCTTAGACTTATAGTCAAGCGCTTGACGACAGAACGAATGCCGATGTGGACCTGACAGATATCATGATATTATATGCTCATCTCATCTTCTTTTTCTTATGTCAGAGGCTGATATACACCATTCCCTTATTTTATTTAAGCGCAGAAAAAGACTTAAGTCAAAACCTTTTGTTATATATCATTTACATCCAGTGTTATCCTCGGTGCGCCAAGTTCCACAATGTAACTATCACTTTCAGTCCCCCAGCAGTTTCAGATCTGTCCAAAATGAACAATATCAGTCAATACTGGCTGAAATTTGAACTGGAAATTAATGAAATGAAAAATAAATTATAGAGATATTTGATAGAAATCTACCAAACCTTCCAAATAAATCTCTTATACAAATAACCCGAAATACAAGACATAGCGAAACGATTCCAATCCCTCAATATTTTAGTATGAAATATCATAACAGACCTTTTATTTAGTTTTGAAAAAAGGCTGTGAAAGAAGTCTCAGCTTATCGGGTAAATGAATGACTCCAATAAACCAATAAAGTGAATACACAAATTATCAGCGTTTCTTATCCTGTTTGAAAAAGCAGAGTAAACAGCGATCACTGCGATTAAAAAGAGAAGTTTTCGAGAAAAAGTATATTCAATCATAGTACAATAAAGGACCTAGACTCACTGAGATAAAATGTTGCGTCCACTGATTAATTTCTTGTGATTTTATACGACTCCATACCTTTTTAACCGTCCATTCGCAGAACCGTAAGACAGTCGTACTAATGCACACTGAAACAAACTCAGATAAAGATTTGAACCAGTGATTATGAACATTTTCTTGCACTGACCCTTTTTAAAGGAATAGTTTTCTTCATAAACCCCCTTACATTCTTCTCCGTAATATTCAGCATGAAACACAATCTTAATACAAAGAATTTCACATTTATTTTATAGTTTTGAAGGAATGGTTTTAAAGGAAAGGAAAGATATTTTTAAAGGAAGGGTTTCTTCATAGACCCCTTGCATTCTTCTCTATAATGCAACATAATCATAATACAAATAATTTCACATAAACAACTTAAAAATAACAATTAGACTAAGAATGCGAACAAATATTTTGGAAAAAAAAAGTGGTTTATTAAATATATGTTTTATTATCTTTGTATTACTATTATATTTCATTTTTCAAATACAAACAAGTTTTCAGAAACCGAATCACAGATTCCAATTGCCTAGAAGTTCGAATTTAATAATGTTAATGGCTGCGCTTGATGTATTGATGGAAGTTTCTTAATGTTAGTCATAAAACAGCTTTACTTAATTTTAAAATTAGCTCGTTCAAAACTGTTCAACTTGTTTCTTGTTTTCCATTCTAGTTTTGCATTCTTCTTATTTTTTTATTGTGTTCTTTTGTGTTCGTTTTTGCGTTTTGCTTTTTTATTACATTGATTGCCTAAAACATTTGCGTTTAAAAGTATTATTGCTTTTCATAATTTTATCACTTTACATCTCAATAGTATAGAAAATTTTAAAAAAAGTTTGGCAGCACTTAATACTTTGTAAACCTGAAAACTGATCAGCTGACTACTCAACGACACACAAGTTTCTTCGCTTGTTTTAATATGAAATAAGTGAAAATAAGAATCAACTTATGTGGGCCCATTTCTATTCTTCAATCTTAGTTTTTGCTATATTTCAAGTGTCAAAGAAGATTAAAAAATGCAAATAAGGAAACGGATTAAATAACAAAAGAAAATGCCAAACATCTCAAAATTATGAAATTCATTAAACCAAAATGAAATTTTAATTTACATATAATTATTTATAAAAGATTAAATTAATGCAGTATATTAAATGGTATTTCTGTATATATATTTTCTGCTCTTTAAAACCTTCAACTGAAATGCATATGTAATTTTTTAGAAATCAGCTGTTCAAATCTGGATAAGCGGAGGAGTTGACAAAAAGAAATTGATTTTAGGAATACCTTTATATGGGAACACATTCACATTAGTTGATCCTAAGAAGCATGGAATAAGGTCTCCTGCTAAAGGCCCAGGCAAACCTGGCCCAAGAAGCAAGCAGGGCGGATTCATTGCTTATAACGAGGTAGATTTTCTTTTGGATTTTGCATTATCATTATTTTAAGATACGATTAATTTTTTTTTTGTTTTGCAGTTTAACATTGGCGGAAGTCAATCTAAAATAGATAACTAATCTATCTAACAGCTAAATCTAAAATAGATTAGCAGCAGTACACTTAAAAATATGAAATGTTATATACACCTTGTCTACAAAAGTCTTTAGTCTTTATTTTCGCAAAAATTCGTAATAGATACATACAGGTATCCCTCTTATAACACGGTTTCCCTGTTACACGACATAACATTTCGTAGTCTTCTGTAGCGTAAACTAACTGGACGTTAAAAGCTTGAGTAGGGAATTAAGAATCCCTAAGTCCAGAGAAGTGTGTAAAGAATCCTTTATTAACTCAAATTGATGTTCACAGGTGGACCAACTCGTGCTAACAAAAGCAACACTCTTAGCTTAACTTAAAAAGGTAACGAGTAACTAACTTAAAATGTAAATGAATTAAGATTAGCCTAACGGCTTCACAGGTTACTTAAAGCTTAGGCTAGTTCTGCGGCGTAAACAAGCTTAATGGCAAGAAGCGCTCAACGCCACAGAAATCTAATCGCTAGTAAATCAAATATAGCAACGTGGTCTTCAGGAAAGCAGAACACGCTATAAATTCACCTGTCAAACCCTTTTTTTAAATACTAACTTCCTTCTACCTTATTTGAATACACGCGCTATGTCATTTATATTCTGGCAAGAAAGTGTTAAGTGAAAGCAAAAAAGTTAGAAAAGGTTACTTCAAAGTAAATTAAGTAAATTAAATAAATCCCTACAAAGAAAACAAACTGTGAAATCTTTCGTATAGTTACCACGGCAAAACGGTTTCATTCTTACACGTTAAGGAATATGCGTAAATTCTCTTATAACACATAATGTACGTATTTCGATAACACGATTTTATTTTTCTAAACGTTTACAAGATTATGTTAGGCCATTCTTTGTAGTAGACAATAACAACCTATATATCGGGTTAGCTAGGAAGTATAGTGTGAAATAAAACTAATTTTTCTACATAGAAAATGAGCTTTAATCAGTCAAATAAATCATCCATTTTATGCGATGAACTTCTGCCATCCTTTTAGTAACTTCATAATTTCGCACAAACAGAACTTCTAGTCTTTGTCAGCAGAAACTCAAGTGTGATTTGAAGACATCGTTATGACTGAAATTTTTACCATTTAAGAAGTTTTGTAAACTTTGAAATAAATAATAATCCGATAGTGCAAGTCAGGGCTATGGTGTGGGATGCAACATCTTTTCCCAACCAAGCTCCAATAATTTCTGGCCTTTTCTCTTTGATTACTTTCTCCAATTTCATAAACTGTTGGCAGTAAACACCTGAGCTGATTGTCTAGTTGCTTGGAAAAAAATGGAAAAAGAGAGTGAAAATGAAAATGGTGTGAGTCAAAATATACAACACCTTTGTAATCCCACCAAACTGACAGCATGATATTTATTGATGCAATTCAGCTTTCGATATAATTTGCTCTGATTCACTATACTCGGACCATGAACATTTTTTGATTACAGTTATTGTAGAGGATCGATTTTTCACCACCAGCGATAATTCTGTTCAAGAAAGAGTCGATCGAATTATGTTTGAAATACATATCGCAAACATTGATTCAACGAATTAAGTAAATTTCTTTCAATTTATGTGAAACCCAATATCGAGCTTCTTAACGAATCCAAGATATCTTATGCCATTTTCAGCTGTCTTGTGTGATACATTTAATCATTTTGCAATCTCTATATGACGATTCGATTCAGTTAAGGCTCTAATTCTGTCATCATCAATTTCAGAAGGTTAGTCATTTTCAAGTGAAAAATCTCCGGAGCGAATTTTTAAAATTAATTCTGACACATGCGTTTCGTTAAGCAATCAGTACCATAAATTTCAAGCATCCCTTTGTGAGCCTCAGCCGCTTTTTTGCCTTTTCGAAAATAAAAAAGTAAAATATGTCGAAAATGTTCATTTTTGTGCCTAATTTTTGTGCCATTTACCGTAAACTAACAGCTGTAAACAAAGATACACGGAATTTATTTCGATAGCAACCTAAAAGTGTTAACTGCCAAATGTCAAAAGAAAAAAATGTATGTGATTGACCGGAAAATAACAAACGAACATACTGCTATCTATTTGTGCAAACCAAAATTAATTTCTTGCTAACCCAATATTTATTCCTGGAGGTGCTAAGACAACAAGAATCATCGTAGTATTCCTATATTCGTAGGACTAATCTGGAGGGTTTTAAATATAAAACCTTCTTCAGCTGCAGAAGTGCAGATGATGAAAAAGAAGCCTGTGCACAAGAATTAATAATGACAGGAAGGCAGTCAAACTATTGGCATCATCTACGGATGAACAATTGAAACAACTCTGAAATAATTTCCTTAAAAGCTAAGGGTAAAGACGGATTGGAAGCAGGATCATTAACTAGAGCTGAAAGATTTTTTTGAATGTAAACCAACTGTAGAAAATCTAATTCGCAAACGGAAAATGATTTTTAAATAACTTTGGGTATGGGAAAAGGAAAATGTGATTTTCCTGACCAACAGTGCTGGGCAACTATGGATTTATGTACTTCGTTTTTCCTAATACATGCCTCATGTTCCTTCGTTTCTCATGTTCCTATACTATATTTACACGTGCAAAAACTATAATTTCTAGAAATACAAACTTCAAGAAAATAATAATAACGTATTTTCAGGGATTGAAAACTTATAAATTACTCCTGGAAAGATTCGTTGAACGTACCATTTGCAACAAAATTGCAAATTAAAGAATATTACATATTAGTAAATCATGAAAGAATATAACTGAATAGTATTTAAGGGAAAAATGAACCTCGAATTGCAAAAATTTACTAATCAATCGACTGCTAAGAGGAACTGAAAATAACGTTAAATATCCAAAATTTAAAATTAAATATCTCGGTCAGTTTTTGCTGTACGGAAACTTTGGTTTTGGTTTTAAAAATTAAGTTATAAGAATTATCTAAATATAAATACTGAGGGAGACGTGTAAAAATTTAGAAAATTCTCATTTAAATTTAGATTTCATAATTTTATAAATGAGTCTTAACGGCAGCTTGCAAGACGGACATTGAAGGAACGGAGTAGAAAATGGGGTAGAAAAAGATCCAGATTTCGAAAGAATGAACACAATAGCATTAAATAAAGTTATAGGTGAGCTGAAACATGAATAACAGAAGTAAGATGAAATCACATGCTTCAAAAGTTTCTGAAGTGAGAGAACACCTATCGCATCTATGTAGCTTAAAGAAATATCTGCACAAAATATATTTAAAATAATAAATGAAAGAGGAAATAAAATGAATGAAATGCCATCACAAAAATGCAATACAAATTGAATAGGCTGAATAAAAATAATCAAGGTATTGAAATGTACTAATAATCTAGCTCTTATAAGGAAAAATTATGTACAACAGAAGAAAGGGATAATTATGCAAATATTTAACACAATTTCTGAACCTAACGCTAAAACGCGAAGAGGAAAATACTCAAATACTGTAGATATCTGCATATTGTATTGTCAAAAATTACAGTAGTTAGTAGATTTTTTTAAATAACTGTTATGAAAATACATATAGTTGTAAAATGTTCCGCACTGTGTGCTTCTCTAAGAAACATTAAACAACGAAAACATAAGTGACCATATTGCTGCAAGGAAAAGTAGTTTGAAGTATTATGTCTTATTGAAATTCTAAATGTATTGGACTTACTAGCGGGCAAGCCCGCCAGCTGAGCGGGCTGAAGCCCGCTTATCATTGTTCGTGTGTATAAGAGTTGCCATCGTAATTTCGCCGTTATGCGAAAGTTGGACCGAACTACAAGTGTACAGTGGCTATGCGCGGGCTGCGCCCGCTTTGTTCACATATGCATGGAGAAGATACTGCATAAACGATACACATGCGTTAAAGCAAGAAAACACCCGGGGAGCCAGCTCGTTCGCCGGGACCGAAAGTTGGATCGAACTACCAGCGTTAAGAGGTTTTGAGCAGGCTGCGCCTGCTTTTATCACATATGCATCCAGAAAACACTTTATACACTATACACATGCGGAAAATCACGAAAACACCCATGCAGCCAGCCCGCTCGCCGAGATTCGAAAGTTTGACCGAACTACCAGTGTTCAGCGGTTTTACCCGGTATCCGCACGCTGTATTCACGTATGCATCCAAATTTTGTATACTGTACCCCGGAATTCGAAAGTTGGACCGAAATACCAGTGTTCAGCGGCTTTGTGCGGGCTGCGCCCGCTTTATTCACATATGCATGGAGAAGATACTGCATAAACGATACACATGCGTTAAAGCAAGAAAACACCCGGGGAGCCAGCCAGTTCGCCGGGACCGAAAGTTGGATCCAACTACCAGCGTTAAGAGGTTTTGAGCAGGCTGCGCCCGCTTTTATCACATGTGCATTCAGAAAACACTTTTTACACTATACACATGCGGAAAATCACGAAAACGCCCATGCAGCCTGCCCGCTCGCCGTGATTCGAAAGTTTGACCGAACTACCAGTGTTCAGCGGTTTTACCCGGTATCGGCGCGCTGTATTCACGTATGCATCCAAATTTTATGTACAGTTCCCCGGAATTCGAAAGTTGGACCGAACTACCAGTGTTCAGAAGTTTTGCGCGGGCTGCTCCCGCTTTATTCAAGTATGCATGCAGAAGATACTGCATACACGTTACACATGCGGAAAATCACGAAAAAACACATTGAGCCCACACGGTCGCGTGGATTCGAAAGTTGGACCGAACTACCAGTGTTCAGGGGTTTTGCGCTTGTTCCCCCTGCTTTATTCCCGTGCGCATCCAGAAGATAATGCATACACGTTACACATGCGGAAAATCACTGAAACACACATAGAGTCAGTGTGTTGGCCGGGATTCAAAGTTGGACCGAACTACCAGCGTTCAACGGTTTTGACCGGGTTACGCCTGCTTTATTCACGTATTCATCCAGCAGATACTCCGTAT